AGGTACATTTAACATGATACTGGCAAGTGAGTTGTACTTGATATACAGCAGTAAAATTTACTAGAAAAAAGGTCTTGTGCATATTGTTAGGAGGACTTTATCAAGTAAATCCTTTCTGTTATTTCTTTCAGTGTGGTCGTAGGATGAGGTGTACATTGGGACATTGCTGTCTTTTGGCAGTGGAATAAGGTTTGGCTTTTAACCAACCAAAGCCTGGTCTGACTTAGTGGCTCAGAATTCTACTGTTATTTTAAGGCTTATTATCAAGACAGTAAAATTCAACTTCGTCCTCTTATGAAACCAAAATTTCACTAGATAAGGATTTCGAGTGATGGAAATGCGACCCTCAGACAGGACCTCATGTAAAACAAAGTATGTAGGTTCATCAGTTTGCAGACTGACCTTCTTATTTTGAGTGTAAAACTTGCTCCCTTTAGGTTTTTGTGCAGCTATTTTAAAGTTGTGAGTTTAATAGTTTTTGTTTACTGAGACACGAGTAGTAGTTTCAATCCTCAGACTGTTTTTGAACGCACATGAAGTTTTTCAAATGGTCACAGCGTGAGTAGACTGAACAAACAAAGGAGTGAGGTGTCCACTGTGATGGATTATCTGTCTGCAACAAGTTTCCAGTCTCTTTAAGTTGATTCTTTACCTGAAACAAAGGCGTAAGCTTCAAGAGTGTCGTGCACTGTGCAGTTGGTAAAGACCTTTGATGCAGGCTCGTGGTTTGTGTTTTGGGCCTCGATAAATAACATTGAATTGAAGACAAAAGAAGAGGCCTGGTTCTCGCTGTGTCACACTTGCAATTACTGCAGGAAGCCTTGAAGTGCTCTTGATAAAAACAAAAAAAAAAACAGATAACAGTGTTGAAAAGAAAACATTCTTCAAGCACTCCGAGGCAGAGCAAGGAGGGAACATGTATTAAAAGGCTTTATTTAGTCAGATGTATCTATAAAATACTCAGTGGGGCTGTGTCCAAAATCACCCACTCATTCACTACCCCCTACTCACTATATAAGGGCTTCTATGTAGAGGACGATGTAGCGAGCTCATTGGCAAAAGAAATACACTTTCCGACACAACTTGGCGTATTTTCTCTGCGTGGCTAATTGTGTCTTTATTGTCAAAGGATTATGACGTACGACAACATCAGCAATGTCGGCAGTGGATTTTCATGTTTATATTACATCTAAGTATCAGTGCTTTCGGGTGAAAAGTACATAGCAAGGTCTGCAGGTTGGTTTCTTCCTGCTGCCCTCTCCTCTCCTCTCTTCTCTCTGCTATTCTTTTCCTGTCAACACTGTGACCGCAATGCATGATGGTATAAATTGCTTGGCTGGTGACCATCAGTAGTACTTTTTACGATGCATACTGGGAAACAATGATTTCACCATATAAGATATACAAAATGTCACTAAACATTCAGACAGCACTGCAAAATGGCGAACTCACTATATAGTGGACTAAATAGTGATTAGTGAGTTATATCGGACACAGCACTGGTCTTTGTCAGGGTGACAACGATAAAACCAGATTTACACATAGTGTTCTTCATAGTCAATGCAGCGTAAGTCACGGTTGCAAACATAATGAAATAATATCAGAGAAAACTATGTCATAAAAAGAAAAAGAGGAAAGAAATCATGAAAACATTGCAAGTTTTATTAAAATCCTAAAATAATCTAGTTTCTCTCACAAATGAACTGAAACCGATGACATCAGTCAAAAAGTAGATGGTATTATTTTGGGTTTAAACAAATTCATTAGTTTAAAATACAATCTTACTCTTCCCAGTGTATTTCCATATCATCAATCATGACAGCGTTTCTTAAATTTGAAATCTTTTCCATAGGGAACTCAGATAGATAGTTTTGTGTCCTTAATGCTCTCCAGATTATCCCTGATAGTCACAAAGTCTCTTCAGTGTCTTCACCTAAACCAATAACCTTTTCCATTCTCTGTCTGAGCCTTTTCTTCTCTTCGCTTATTATCATCCCACATATGTGCAGGGTATTCTAGAGGCTGACACACTGCTGGATGAACGATTGAATGAATGTGTTGTGCTCTGAGTGTGCACAGTGTAGAAAGCACACAACAGGCTCTTTATGAACTGGTCAACAGGGCAGACCCAGCCATTCACGGCTAAACTGATTCACTTTGTGCAGAAGAGGTAAGTTCTGACAAACAGCCTCCCAGTCAAGGATAATGCACACTAGTGTTTCTCTTATTGGTTATCACATGATAAAGGGAGGATTCAGTGTGGTCAGGTTCAGCCATCAGGTTTTCATTCCCCATTATTCAAGGTTACAATTGTGCTGCTTGATTGACTGAAGCCCAGCTCTGTTTGTGTGCTGCTGCAGTTTGCAACATGAATTTTCATGATGAGCCTTTGTGCATCTGTCGAGTGGTTTGAATGTGATGAGCATTGTGTTTTTGCTGTAGATAACTGAAAGTGACTGGTGCTACATTGTGTCTGATGCTGGGCTGTTACTACAGTTCATGTTTCTCTCTGAAGTGTATATCAGAGTTCTGAGAGTGTTGCATTTTTCTATCTGCAAACAGTTCAGGGAGGCCAGGCTGCTCTGGAGGCAGGAATGAGCTCAGTGTTTGAGTCACTTATTCTACTTGTACATTTTGCTTCTGCATCAGGCAGGGCAGGGACCACCACTAAATTTGGACATGTGAATAGGACAGAAGAAATGTGTGGACATATTGAAGAAAACCCCTAATACCTATGAGACATGTTTCAACAAATCTGTGAATGTTTCAGAATATTCTCCTGTTGTACATAGAACTCTCAAACTGTTATTCATCAGAAGCACTTACACTCTTGTTAAACTAATTTAAATCAGAACTTATATTAGAAACTTGCTTAGTCTTTCACCCAGATTAAAATGATAAAATGTCGTGCCTAAAGAATCTGTTTTGATTTAAAATTAAAAAAATACAATACTTGTGTGACAAATTGAAACACTATTTCAGAGCATAGCTCAAAACCACAGTCACAAGGTGCTTTATAATAACCTTTAAATACAGTAAGAGTTACAAAAATAAATTAAAATAAATAATTAAAGATCTATATTAAAGGAGAGAAATCACACGAATTGCTGTTTTCTTTACCCTAGAATGGGCCCTTTATATTTAAATACTTAATGTTTCCTCTCTACGGAGGCAGCCATGTTTTTTACAGTAGCCCAAACTGGAGAAACTTAACACCTTTTGAGTTTTGTTGAGGGTGAGGTGAGGGGTATTCAGCTGCAACATGCAACTTCACCACTAGATATCACTAAATTCACACTGAACCTTTAACCAAGATCCAAAAATGAGCTCAAATGAACATATTTGGATCAGAGGCAGGGGTCGGTGATAGTGGACTTTAGTTCATCTACTAACATGGCTCAAGGGTTTGATCAGAAACAAAATGTCAGAGACTAGACTCTGCAGGTTAAAGGGGAATTAACTAAATTCCTGCAGCCAGAGCAGCTTTTCTTCTGAAGAATACAGTACAGAGCAGACGACGGCCCAGGTTTCTTCTCTCACTCTTCTGTAGCTTTACTCTCTTTCCTCTCTCTCTCTCCAGACGCTAGCAACAGCAGCCACGAGTCAAGGGTCGGTTCAATCCGGGAAAGGGAGAGGAAGGCCGTGGTCCCTCTGGCGGTTATCTCCACCCTCACCATCATCGGCCTCGTTGTCCTCATCAGCATCCTCATATACTGGAGGTCAGTGCTGCCGGTGCACTTAAAGCTCCTGTCAGTTGATGGTTGCAGCCAGTAGAGGGCAGGAGAAGTCCACAACAGGCAGACAAACACAGCGCAGACATATTGAAAATGTTTGCTAACAGTTTTATTTACTGACATTGAGCAACTTTATGATCCCGCATCATTACACGGTGGAATTGATTAGCTCTTTCACACTGGCTCAATCTGGGTCAGGTACAGGTTCAGAGGGAGGCAGTCTGGGATCAGTTTTCCTCAAACTGTTAATGTCTTATGTGCCACGGTGAACAGTGGATGAGTCCAGGGCCTACTCAAGCTGCTCGAATTAAAAATCCTTGATTCAAATACACACACGCACACACACACACACACACACACACATTTATTTTAAGAGACATGACTTCTTCTCTCTTGTTCATTTCCTATTGCTAAGTCATTTTTATCTGAATTATTTGATTGATTTATAGAATACTCAATGACTAAAATAACTGATAGCTGCAGCCCTATGACATGTCAACAAAACATTTCACACAGGACGAGAGTTTTTTAGTTTGTCTCAGCCCTGATGGTGGCCCTCAGTCGGTCTGTCACACCTCCATCTGTAATCTTTTACTTTTCCCTGAACATTTGTATTGTGGTCAATTTGTCCACTTTGCTGTGCTGCAGCATCAGATACCTCTTCTTGCTGAGGGTGTAATTATTTATTGGAAAGGCTGTAGACCGGTGTCTGAAAAACACTTGATGGTTCCAGATGTGTTCCAGTTCACGCAAAAAATAACGTGTTTAAAAGTATAGGCTACTGTAAAATCGTTAGATGATGGAACAGTACATTTTGAATCACTCTGCTCGAGAACCAAAGCAAACTAAAAAACTTCTGACTGAAACAAATGCATCTTGTGTAGCATTAGGTGAATTTACCAGATCAACCAGACAATGGAAGAAACAGCTGCTAAATGAATGATTTTGTTTGACAAACATCAAGTGGGGCTCTAGTATCTCAGCCCCCACTGAGACATTCTTGTTGATCTTCAAAAACCTTTATTTCTGCATTTTCAAGTAAATCTATTGTTACGCACAGTATATATCTAACACCATCCTTCTCAGAACACCTCTTTCATTTGTTTATAGAAATCTATTCAATATCATCACAAGAAAAAATACCCACCACCTCCTTATTTGACTCCTCCAATTCATCACATGAAGAGTCCTGCACACACACCACACAAACACACACACACACACACACACACACACACACACACACACACACACACATACACACACCTCCAACTGAACCCAGCCCCTTCAAATCTCATAATGTGGGGAGGGGAGTGAAGTGGTGACAGTCTTGTTTGTCTGGGGAGCTTAATCTTCTAGAAAACGAGCTCAGTCTTGATTTTACATTGCGCTGTGTGTGTGTGTGTTTGTGTGTGTGTGTGCGTGTGTGTGTGTGTGTCTGTGTGTGTGTGTGTTTGTGTGTGTCTGTGTGTGTGTGTGTGTGTGTGATTACCAACATCCCTTTCACAAACAATACTTCCTGTGTTGTGGATGTGTGTGCTGGCGGACTGAACAGAGCCTTTCAGCTGCTGCCGTTCCACATTCTGACATTGGAGAGTTTTTAGTTCCTCTCTTTGACCTTGAGAAATGCTGTTTTTTCCCTTTTTTATTGAGATGTATGAAATACTTGATTTTGAGCAAACACAAGTTTCTTTGGAATTTATATAAGTCATTTTATTTACCCCATTTTGGAGTCTATACATAAATCCAGATTTTTATTTTTTTACTACATTCTCCTGCTACGTGGCAGGAAGAAACCTTGCTGCTCAATAAGACCTTGAAATAACTAACTTGAGAAATCCAATCAAGGACACGCTTGTCAAACGCAGTGTAAACACTTTTAGTCGTATTTTTTCACAGACTGTCCACTTCTCATCTGCTGTGCGGGCAGTTCAACATATTGTTCTTGTTTTGCACCCTCCTTGTTGTTGTATCTCCAAGATTGAGCATTGCTAAGCTGGTAATAATCTGAAGAGCAGGGGGATTAAACCTCGGTGAAGGATGTACCCTGGGCTGCAGCGCTTCAAGTGTCCACTCAGCTGAGAGCGTCCGGCGAGGGTTTGGGGATAGAAAAGGACATTCGCTTGATTATGTCAGACAGAAGAAATCGTGTCAGCGTCTTGTAGGGCGGCCGGCAGGAGGTTAAACTGCACTAATCCTGCTGGTGTCGTGTCCTTTTTCTTTCCCTCGTGACAACACGGTGCTCATTTAGACTGCTGCTGTGCATTTGAGGTCAAGCAGTTTGAGAGGATTTTGGTTGAGTTTACAAGTTTACAAACTGAGAAATGCACGGCAAATTTGCATCATCATCAACAGGCATCTGATCAAATCCAGTGTATTAATATAGCCGCTTTATGTCCAGGACATGTGGATGTTTTTCCAACCTGTGAAGACCCTGTGAAACAGATGTCAGCGCACTATTTGATGAAGCAATATGGACGTGTCATGGTCACGATTGATTTTTACAGTAACCAATAACACTGAACGTGTCACACCCCTGTAGAGTTCAAAGCAGCTCAACATGGAAAGTCATGACTGCTATTCCTCGCCACCTTCACCTACACCTGCGGATTTAACCAATGAATCAGATAGTGAGATTGATTGATCAATACCCAGTCAGTCAGCGTGTTTACATCGGTTATTTCTATTTAAAATTAGACCTGACTTCTGCCCCGCACTGAAAACCCTATAACATGAGCGTTTTTTTCAAACATTGTATAGAACATATTCAACCAACCTGCACCCTGATCTGGATTCACACTCAAATTTAAAGGGTTCTTCCACATCCTTCCTCCAAGTTTCGTGGAAATCTGTTGAGTTGTTTTCGTGTAATCTTGCTCACAAACAGACAGACAGGGGTGAAAACATAACCTTCCTGCAGAGGTAACAGTACTCTCATATAGACAAGATATCAACAAGGCTCAGGAGAAAGATAAAATGACCAAAACAGATTTCTACCACTTCATTTGTCACTTTGAGTCAGTTAGTCTGGTAGATCTACTGCATGCATAAGAGGGGTCGGGGGTGTTTTCCACGTCTGTGCCCAATGACACATGTTCTTATAATCCATCCATATGAGGATCAAGTGCTTCTCAGGGAAATGAGTAAAAAGATCAATCAAAGTGCAACCAAAAGCGTCAGTAATATCAGAGATGTTCGTTTGTCTTCACAAGAGATTTAATAGCAACATAGTTTTTCAGAGGAAATGAAAATGGCACAGCAGATTAGTTTGACTTCTTTGCACCTGCAGAAACATTTCATTCAAAGAATCCTGTGTGACACTGTTTGGTTTCTGAAACTATTGACTGTGTGAGTGCATTTGTTCATGAGCAGCAGCTTGTTCAGATGTTTTCTTTTTCTGGGTTAAAGAGCTTGGTGTACATCTGACATCAGTATAATCAGATTAAGGAGTTTCAGTCTCAGTAGACAAACAAGTCAAATATACTAAGTCAGCCAATGAACAGCAGCAGAATTCCTTCTTTTGACAAAGAAATGAAGGTCTCACATCAGATAAAGCCTGCTCTGAAGCAGTGCTGACGCCAGAGATGCTCCCCAATAGTGAAGCTGGCTGCACTATAGGAAAAATAAACCCACGTCTCCTCTGCAGCTCCACCTTACAACCACTACTGCACAGACTCTAACTCCAAATAACGTCACCCATACAAGATGGCAGTTCCCACATGCGATACTTTTTGGCTTCATATTTGTACAGTTGGAAAAAGTGAAGACGCGTACTCTTTTATCTACAATCCTTTAGCTTCTAGAATAAGTCAATTAAGTTGTTCCATTACCTCAGACAGAGATATACATTTAGGATTATTATGAATAAAATCAATTTGAAAAGTTTGTCTAAAACAAATATTAAAATTAAAATAAACTCAGATCTTAAATGAGTTTGAGTTTCTTTTTTTTTCTAAAAGCCACAAACTGAAGCAGAAATCAGTGATTGACATATTGGTTCAGCCTTGTGGCTTTAGCTCCAAAGGGTTTTCCTCCCAAAATGTCCTTCTACAGTTGTTTTCACTTTTTCCATTTTAAGTCTAAGACTAAAAACCTCTCTTCTACTGTGTGCTTTGGTTCAGTATCGCTCTTTGGTTGTCATCCTTGAAGAGTTTCCTTTCATATGATACCTGGGTTATGTCTGTAATGGAGGCTGAATAATATTTTCGGGCTTTGTCTGGTAACAGGTTGAATACAAGTATATTCATCGGAAGTTAACTTGTTCAGGATTCGAGCAACTAATCCAACATTCAGCTGATAAACAAAGAGCTGAGTGTGTGTGTGTGTGTGTGTGTGTGTGTGTTTGCTTTCATGTTTGCTGGTGATAATCCCTGATGCCCATTTCTGGCCGAGACAACACAAGTTCATTAGAGGCCGTCTCATCCATTTAAAAACGTGTTAAGGATTAACGCAGCATCTTTCACCCTGTGTTTTTGGGACGATTACTCCGTGTTCTCCAAAAATCTGGGCTAACGCAGAGTCCCATGAAAACAAAGGCATCTTCATCTTGTCAGAATTAGTGCAGCGTCGTGGCTTTGGTCTGTTTTTATTCCCCCTTTTCTATTTCTGCCCAATACAACTCTTTGAATTCTCTGTTTCTGTTTAGGGTTTCAGCCATTTCTCTTTATTTCAATCATTTTCCCTGATTTGACCATTTCATCTATGAAGATAACACGTATGTTCTCTGTGATTAAAGTATTTAAATTGTTTTTTTTTAATCAATGTGTATTTTGTCTACAGGACCTGTTTTCAGACAGCTCACTTCTACGTCGATGAGAGCTCATCACCCAGAGTCATCGCTGCAGCATCCACAGCTGTATTAACATCTGGTAACATACGTTTATGGTCTTGTGAGCGCTCTACTCTCTCTCCCTAAACTCAGAACATGTAATCTTAACCATGAATGTAAGTCCACAAAAACAGCGCTCTGATATGTAAGGACCAAATAAAATCTCCTTTTCCTCATTTGTCAAAAAATGTCCACATTCACTGTATTTAACTTTCAAAAATGTCATCATCTACTCAAGATATTTTCCTTTTCCTAAAATATATTAATTTTTTATGTCCTATCTTAAAGTATTTCTCATTTCCAAGTTTCCAACAGTGTCAAAGTATTCCTGATGTCCAAAAAATTCCTCTGTGTCCAAATTGCTTAATGACAGAAGAGCCATAATTTTTCTAAAATATTTCAAAAATGTCTTTCCTTTTCAAAAATGACCTGTTTTATATTCCAGATGAGCAGACTGTGTTTCCAGTCAGTGATTTTGTCAAACACGTCGCTGAACTTCACAACACCCAGGGCTTCCAACAAGAATTTGAGGTATTAAGACAGAAGTGTTGGTACATTTGCATAAAAGTTGTACAATTATACAATTACAGTTATACAATTGTATATTTCCTTAAAGTCTGACTGTGGACTGTGTCTGTGTGTGTTTGTGATTGTCTGCATGCTGCTCGTTAACCTGTGAACTGTTTTACTGGGTCGATGCAGGGCTGCAACATGACATGAATATCTATCAATAATAATTAGGGTGATTGTAATAATAATGAGTTGCAGCCCTGGATCAGCATCTTGTGGGGAGCCATCATGTGTTCATGTGAGCAGTGAGTCAGTTGTCTTTTTGTCTGTGGAGCTGGTTAAGAGGCTTCAGACCTCAAAGACATCATGAGCTCATTCACCTCATGGATCTAAGCTCCTATTTGTTTTGTTGTGAAACTGCCAATACAGGAAAAATCTACACAAAGTAGAGAAGCTACGTCAAGTCTGAAGTCAACCTATATATATTTTCCAAAAATAGTGGATGCATTGCAGCTGGATTAAGATGGCTCTGCCTCGATTATGTGCCCAGCTGCACTGAATAAGCGCATGCTTGTAGCGCTCATTGCAGGAAAGCACAAGATTCTCTTTGCAAGGTTCTGCAGCTCTGGGAATGAGCGGCCTTGAGATGTTGAGGTTGAGCAAAAGTGACCAGATGTTGAGGTTCAGCAGGAGACTACAGATGTTGAGGTTGAGCAAATGTCTCCTGATGTTGAAGTTCAGCATCTGGGCACTGCTGCAGCAGAACCTAGTTGGCGTTACTACTGGCGCAGGATTCAACAGATGTGTAGGTGCGTCGGCAGAGATGCTCTGCCTTTCTTCCTTTAGTCCTGATAGTACAGAATGGCTAAAGGAACTCCCATCTCCCATCTCTCCTCTCTCCCCCCATCTCTTTATTAAATTCAATCAATTGGAAATGCTATAAATAAAATAAATATAACATAATTCTGTCCACAATCTTAATTATTATGTGTGTGAAAAAAAAGATTGAATTATACATTAATAGAGAAATTGCACATCAACTGTGTAACATCTGAGTCCATCAGCCCATGTTCTGTCTCTTTTTGTTTGGGTTTATTTTCCCTCTGTGTTGGCAGTAGCAAGAGCTGTGCTGTGAGACAAATGTGTTTTTTGTGTTTTTTTTTTGTCTTGTCTTGTAATTTGTATTTTTGTACCTCTTTGGTTGACTGTGTTGTCACGGAAACATCCTGGCTGCCTGCTGCTTCCTCACCCTCATCATTAGATACTGAAGGAGAGCTATGAGGTAAGACGCTCTCCTCCTGACGTCTTTAATCACTGACGGATGCTGCTCCGCATCACATAGCTGTGTGTTTGTCTCGTCTGGAAATGCAAAGTGCTTTTGGAAATGTGAAAAATGTGGATGTACAAAGCACAACTGCTGTTTGTCTTCAGTTGAAGGAAAACGCAGACATACAGTGTAAATGCCACTTTAGTAGGTACACCAAAGTAAACCTTTTGGAGTTGGTAATGCTCTGTAATGCTTCAGTTAAGTTTGTACTGAAACTGTCAGAGAAAGTTTATGGTTCAATGACAGTTACATGCAATCATTTTCTATTATATTTTGTATCTATACAAACAACAAATGTTGCGTGATACTATTTTAAAACTTGTGAAACATGAACTCTACCCAGCAACACTAGCTGTCAGAGAAATAACAATAAACAGTGGCAGGGCTAATATTTCTGTATGAATGTGGAGGGAGAAAAGAAGAAACTGAGTATCTAGTTATTCCAAATAGAACACACTCAACTTCGACATTATGTATGACCGACATTCTAAAGGTAAGGCTTTACTTTGACTGTGTGTGTTTTCAGGAGGTGCAGGTGTGCACAGTGGACATGGGAATGAACACTGACAGCTCCAACCATCCTGACAACAAGAACAAGAACAGATACAGCAACATCCTGGCCTGTGAGTGTCAGATATGATGAGACTTCACTGAAGGATTCAGATCAGAACATCACATACACTGATGGATGGATGGATAGATAGATAGAGAGATAGAAATAGAATATATATATATATATTTCAAAGTAAGAAGCATTCATAGGATAGAGAGATGGATAGAAAGAGAGATGGATGGATGGATGGTCCTCCACATTGAACTGATGACAGTCCTTTGTGTTTCTACTCTGTAACCCTCAGATGACCACAGCCGGGTGCGGCTCTCGTCGCAGGCTGATAAAGACGGAAGGACGAGAGATTACATCAACGCAAACTACGTGGATGTGAGGAACTTTGTGTTGTATTGTCACTGCATGTCAGTTTCTTTTTTAATCTCCCTACAAACCGAGGTCTTCACCTCCACAGGGAGGCTCGTTTCTGAGTACTTTACTGTGTTTAACACACCGTCAAAACTTCTCTTCACAGAGCCACTGCATGTTCTCCCTCTTGTCTCGCAAAAGCCAAATCTGCCTATTTCTAAACCTATTCATGAGGCTCACTGTTGCACAAGGACCTGTGTAGCTCTCCATTATGTTGGTCACCACACCATTAAAATCTCATTTCCAGTGTCTTGTTGTTTTGTGAAAGGCAGAGGTGACACAAAAAAACCCTGCGGCAGTCACGGCCTCTCTGGAGAGCTGATGTACATGTTCTAAAGTTGGTATAAGCACATTGAGGATCACTCCAGCTCACACTTTTGTCTGATTCTCACAGTATGAAGGCAACTTCACACTGTCAGTCATGTGAAGGTTAGCAAACTATTAAAGGGAGTGATTGAATGTCTCTGCTGAGAACTAGTGAACTTTCTTTCCTGTGCTGGCCTTAACTAAACCAACTCGTTGGATTTCAGCCTGCACTCAACTTTTGAGTCAAAAATGTTTTCAACCTTGATGAATTTTTCTGTGTTATGTTACTTTCAAATTTACATATGTCCTCCAGTGCGTTCCAGCCAATAACCTCCTATTTCACATCCAAAATGTTAATGAGTAAGAGGCGTCAGACTGACATTTGGACTGTATTTCTAAAAGGTCCTAGAGCTCTGAGTAGAACACTGCTCCCATAACAGAATCATTTTTAAGATTTACATTTGACATACTGTCAAACTGGAGCAACTGAAACGGAAAAATGAATTTCTGTAAATTTGAATTACTGTGAATGTTTTCATTTAATAAGTTGTTTCAACAGAAGCTTGAGCAGTTGCTTTGTACAGGCACCATGTCCAGCAGCTTAACAATGAAAATGAAAAGCTGCATTCAATTATTTTAACCACTAAATGACAGAACGACCCAAATACAAGCTTACAGACACATGATCACTGTTTATTGGTTGATTTGAAATTATATACGTACAGTCATTCATGGTTTCCAGAGGATGACTCCTGGTGACTGACTTTTTCTCTGTTGAGAGGATTGCCATGACATTTGGTGCATCCAGTCCAAAGTCTCCTGACTTATCCTCAAGCTCCATCATCGGGTCAAATTTAGAACAAATTTGTCCAATACTTTTTGTTTCTATCAGCAAATAACCTGCAAAACAATGACATTCTCATCAGCCTCTGCTCACAGTTGTGTTAAATGTTTAACACTGAAATGTACTAACCTGTAATGATTCTTTCCTCTTCAGATTCACGCAGGTTTTACACATTTGTTGAAGTTGTGTGTGTGTGTGTGTATGCGCACATGCATGCCTATGTTTCCTCAGGGTTTTAAAAAGACCAGGTCGTACATCGCCGCTCAGGGTCCTCTGAAGTTGAGCACCGAAGACTTCTGGAGAATGATTTGGGAGCAAAAAGTTGGCGTCATCGTCATGATCACAAACCTGGTGGAGAAAGGACGAGTGAGTCAACTTGAATCATGCAGCCTGAAATGACTTTTGAGTTTGTGAGGTGAAATAGTCCTGGACAAATATTTCACTCAACATCGTAATTTTTTCACCTCAGCGATATACATTCTGAATACTGTTAACTGTTCAAAGTAGAGAATAATCAGTACAGATTTAATCATTTTGTTGATAAAATGTTACTATCAGTGGTATTAATTGTGATAACACTGGGTAAGAAAGAATATTGGAATCTTTCTCCTTCATCTGAAAATGAAAACAGACTGATTTTACATTTGTATACAAGTTTGTTAACTTTTGTCAAAGAAAAATGGGTTTTGAAGGAAAATGCAGAGAAACAGTATATATGCTGATTTAGTAGGTACACCCATAGGTCAAATGAACGCCATTTAATAAAACATCCGACTAATTTAATCTTCATGATGCCTGTTAACTGTGCTGCCATCGTACTGCATTGTATTTTGATGAATTTATAATATATCATGACAGTTACATGCAATATGTTTCTATTATTTTATTGTTTACATTAACAACTTCTGTTGTGCGATACTATGTGTGGAAAGTAAACTCAATTACCCAGCAACAGTAGCTGTCAGATACATAAAAATAAACAGATACGCGTAATATTTCTGTTTTTTCACACTGAAGAAAAAAAGTGTATATAAAGTCCTCATTTTATCCTTTCCTCAGACGTGTGTGTGATGTGTTGACTGTCTCCTCAGAGGAAGTGTGATCAGTACTGGCCAACGGAGGTGCAGGAAGAGTACGGCAGCTTCCTGGTGACGGTGAAGAGCAGCAGAGTCCTCGCCTACTACACCCAGAGAACCTTCACCGTCAGGAACACCAACTCCAAAAAGGTCCAAGAAACCCAGCACTTAGATCACAGAGTGTCTGATTAACTGTTTGATTGTGCTAAAGAAAATGAATAAGGGACACAAGTAATTCTATGGCTAGGTTAATATCAGAAAGTGTTTTTTTTCTATCTTAGAGGTACTAAGAAGTATTCAAGCAAACAAATGATGTATCTTGCTCAACAAACTACATGAAACAGAGCAGAAATAATTCATTATTTAAAAATAATAAACAGAAAACAGAAATATAATTTAGCAGAAGCTCTGTTCCTTGTTGTCTGTTTGTAAAAGTCATTTTTCCAGCTTGCGCTCAGACACAGTGAGTTTTTCCTTTTCCGCTGACAGATGGAGCAGAGAAGCTACAGAGAGGGTTTTACGACACTGGAATCCATTTATCTTTGATTTGACTCTTTTCTTAGTTAAGTTAGTTGAGTCAGTAAAGCTTAAAACTTAATTGTGGTTTTAGTTGCTTAGTAACAGCAATCTCAACAGCAGCACAACCTCCCAGACGCTTTGGTTAAAAAGATGAAAGCAGCAGCTGTTTCCCCGACATTTTTAGACACTGCATCTGTTCTTCTTACACAATATTACACAATAATACACACACTATGGACTTGTTTCAATATCAAAGCTATTTTTCCCGTTACTGTCTTTTTTTGTTGTTGAAATCTCTGTTAATGACGCCCTGTTTGGTTCGGGTCACCTGCAGGGCTCCCAGAGAGGTCGGAATAGTGAACGCACAGTGACGCAGTACCATTACACCCAGTGGCCCGACATGGGTGTCCCAGAGTTCGCCCTGCCGCTGCTTAGCTTCGTCCGCAAGTCGTCCAGAGCCAGGACAGAGGACATGGGGCCGCTGCTGGTGCACTGCAGGTGAGTTCTGATGAAAACACAAGTTTCATTTATCAAAAAGTTAAGTGTTGTTTTAATTTGCGTGTATGTCAACATACAGAAACATAACGTGCTGTTCCTCATGGACCACAATTACAATATAGTCTTACATTAGCAGCTACAGCTGAGAACACATGACTATACATAAAATCTCAATTCATTTTGATTTTCTCCTTCTCTTCTTGGTGCAGTGCGGGTGTGGGCCGAACAGGAACCTACATTGTCCTGGACAGCATGTTGAAGCAGATGAGAGACGAAGGCAGCATCAACATCACAGGCTTCCTCAAACACATCCGCACACAGAGGAACTACCTGGTCCAGACAGAGGTCAGAGGTCGATCTCCTGTCTGCACACAGTCGTCTCTTTTTAGCCATGCTGCAGCCTACCTGACTTGCCACCACATTCCAAATAGAAGTCTTGCCGATCGATTATAAAAAAACTAATCTTCCTGAGAATGTTGACTCTCCTGTCATCAGCCCACAAGTCATTTCGAACTCAGTCATTATTTATCTCAGATGTAAGTGCAGAGTCTAACTACAGCACTGCCTGTACTCTCTCCGCAGGAACAGTATGTTTTTATCCATGATGCCTTGGTGGAAGCCATCTTGTCCGAGGAGACAGAGGTTGTGGCAGCTCACCTGCACAGGTACATGGACGAGCTGCTGACCCCAGGGGCTGCTGGGAAGACTCGCCTGGACAAACAGTTCAAGGTGAGCAGTTCATCAAACACTTCACTCGTTCTCTGAGAAATGACAAGAAATTGAAAAAAGAAATCCTGTATCCACCATCTGATAAACCCCAAAGATTATTTTGGACCCATGCTCTACTCTGCAGCAGGGTTTTCTGTAATCCTGCAGAATTTTTTTTTAGCAAACATACAAACCGACAAACCAAGATAAACATCACCTCCATGAAAGGGGCTGTGTCGTCGTAGTAGTAGTAGCTTCATCAGTGTTCTTTTAAAAATGATCTAAAATTAGTTTTGAATTAAAATCTTTGAGTTTTCATATTCATTTTTTTGTTATTGTTTAAAAAAAAAAACTTTCATGCATGAAACATGTTACAAATGTGAAATGTCTAAAGTTGAAGGATTGTTGTGCATGGATATATAATCCATGCATGTATGATTCAGTGCTGATTCTCTAACTGATGTTTTGTGTTTCCACAGCTGGTTTGTCCCTCTGAGGTGAAGCAGTGTGACTATTCTACAGCTCTGCAGGAATGCAACCGCTGCAAGAACAGAAACTGCTCTGTGATACCTGGTGAGCCCGAAATGTTCGTCAGCTCGGACGTCGCTCAGCCTGTCCTTGTTTTCATTTGTCTCTGCTGCTTTTGAGACTTGAACTCAATCTTTCCTCTGTCTTTCCAGCTGAGAGATCAAGGGTGCGTCTGTCTACGTCAGCAGGGGAAACATCGGACTACATAAATGCATCGTACATCGCAGTAAGAAATGATCACGTTCTTCAAATGAAGAGATTAAAAAACAGATGAGTGATGAAACCTAACTAAGTAAATTCACTAAAGTACTATACTTTAGTTCTTCCATTTTATGATGTGTCACACTTCTTCTTCATTACATTTGAGAGATAATTATTTTATCATCCTGATTTATTTTTACAGTATGACTATCAGGAACTGGTGAGATAAATGATCAAATGTATAATAATGTACAATATATAATCAACAAGATTATGGTGCAGTGCCTTTTTTATCCCTGCCTGTTTGAAAGGGTAATTGTATTAATACTCTGGAGATAAATATTTCTTCACATAAGTCACTTTTTATTATTTGTGTGCTGGATGTTAAGTGCAGAGCTTTTTATAAACAGTGTTTAGTACAGAGTGAAGTTTGTGTTCATCATACCGGGTTTATCTGCAAGGAATAGTCTTTTTTTTTAAAATTTGCCTAATTACTTTATTACTAAGTTTGAATGATTGAATATACTGCAGTTGTGTTTTCATACATCGCGTGTTGCCTTTTTTAGAGGAGTGTTCAGAGGTCTGCAATCGACTCAATGTTAAGACCCAAGTTCACAAACTCTCAAAATGAAAGCTATGCAATTCAGCTGGATAAAAAGCATTACAGCAACAAAACTAAATTAGATTTTACTTTGACGACAAAGTTACACTGCCCCACCCCCACTGACTGCTATAGAGCGCTGGTCAAATTTTGTTAATGCTGAAGGCATCACGTGCAAATCGCACCAAATTCCACACTGCAGCTTCTCAGACACGCATGCCAAGTGTGAGGACGATAAGATGAACGGTTCGAGAGATATGCTCTCCAGATAGAGAAAGACGGGCATTTGTGGAATTAGCATGTGAGGATTAAATGAATCATACTAAGCCATGGTTTTCTTACAGGGTTACATGCAGAGCAGCGAGTTCATCATTACCCAGAATCCTCTACCTGGGACCATAAAAGACTTCTGGAGGATGATATGGGACCATAATGCCCAGGTTATTGTGTCACTGCAAGGGGCGTCAACAATTGGGGTGAGTGGTTCAGCTCCCAATGTGGTCTGACTGATCAGATCCCATATGTTTTCAATGTGTCCTTCACACCTTGATTTACAGCTGTCAACCTGTAATCAGAGCACTCAGGACGGATTAAAGAACCAGGTCTGATCAGGGTCTAGAAAGCTACAGTCTAACTATTATGAAAAATTGTTCTGTTCATCCCACTCTGCAGACATGGCATGAACGGAAAGCTGCAAACATCGGATTGAGTCTCATTCTCTCATCCCACTCTCTTTTACACTTTCATATCTGATGCTGTGGGATTGTGTATGGCAGGATCCAACTTAATTTCCAATGCACAAATATTTGATGCATCTCCCATTCACTTGTACTGAAGCCCAAATTCAGTTCAATTTTATTTTATTTGTATTGGGCCAAATCATAATATAGATTATCTCAAGGCACTTTGCATAGAAGCTCAAGATCTTAAAAATGATAGAGAAACCCAACAGTTCCCATAATGAGCAGCACCTGGCGACAGTGGAGAGAAGAAAAAAACCCTCATTAACTGGAAGAAGAGTCACAGCTTGAATACTCAGCCTCATCGGAAGTGATCACTCAGATAATAGAGAAACTGATTATGTGTTTTTCTAGGAATTGACAAATTAATATTGTAGCATGCTTTATCACTACACACTAAAAATCGTAGCCTCATTCTCAGACACGTTTACTCTCCAGCAGTGACAATGCCAGTTAAATCCAGTTTAACTAGCATTTACCTGCCCCTGTACGTCATCACACTTCCAATGTGCAAGAATAAACTTGTCTTGGTCAGTTGATGACAGCAGTGCACCACCCCCGGCTCAGGCTTCAGGTCCCAGCTCCTCAGCCGTCTTTGCTGGGGAGGTTAGGACCACAGGGACTCAGACCCCGACTCTACACAGCTTTACTATAAGACCTGAGTACGGTGTCGATTTACCCATTTGAGTAATCTCACTTCCTTAAGTCTGTGTCGGAAATGTCTGTAAGGCAACGCTATACTGAGATCAGAGGTCTCCACAAGTGAGAGCCAAAACATTCTGATACACACAGATTAGCATGTAGGGAAGGTGCTGTTACAAAAAGACTTGGGCTGATTGAAGACATTAACATATTGCAAAAGGTCATTATGAAATGTGTGGTTATAGCTACTTCTCTTCTTACAGTCGACAAGACTTCCCCCAGTCACATGTTCTGCAGCTTTCTGCAAATGTGAGATGTGAAACTACTTGTAGATCTAGGTAACAAAGAGAACTGCAGTCGCATTATGTTTTTAGTTCCTTAGAAAAGTAACTGACACTCTGAAGCTAAAATAAAGACTTGATTCTGTCTGGTGACAGAAACTTATATGGCAACAATTTTGATAATAGAATTTTAATTCATACCAAAAATTGACTGTTACCAGCTTTGTGTATGTGAATACTTGCTCGTATTCATAGTTTCTTTTTATAGGTAAGCCTTTTTTGATTTTTAACTGTTAATACTTTGTATTATTATTATTGTTGTAGTATGAGTTTTAAATTTAAACTTTAAAAATTAGATCATTCCTTTGATTTGACTTCTCCTCAATGAGTCTTGTATGTTGTGTCTTAATATATTAATCTATGGTGTTACTCTGACCATAGACAGAGTCACCTCTTATAGTTAGTATTTATGACAGCTATTCAATCTGAACCTGTTAGGGGTTTGATGTGAACTTTATACGAGACTTTAAATTTTGTATTTTTGTAAAGAAATATTTTATGTATATTAATGACGATATCTACTGTAGTATGCATACATTACATACATTATTTGACCCCCCCAAAAAAGTTTTCGTTGATCCAGCACCCATCAGGAATTTTTTTTACTGGATGTGAGTTGTTTCCATTTTTGAACATAAACACTAAACTGAAACAATGTGGGTCTTATCGCTAAATTTGGACCCAACATAAAGAGTGTCATATTACATATTGTACTTTAGTGTAGCACAGGTCTGACAAATCTATAATTCATTTATTAATTAGATCCCAGTGATACGTGGTAAACCTGAAGCTTCTGGCACCCTGGGCAGTTTATCCAGCCTTCGCTCAAATTGTTTTTATTACATGTATCAGAAATGCAACATCAGATCCCCTTCAGGCCAGAGTGCACGTAACTATCATAGAAAGTAAATGTCATGTAATCGTGCCTTATGCTGTACACGTTGCCTATTGTTGCTTTTGTTGGAAAAAAGTGCAATATAACAATTTGCTGACTTCCTGTGTTAGGCAGAGGAAGAGGAAGAGTTGTGTGTCTTCTGGCCCCGCAAAGGGCAGCCAATCACATATGAGATGTTCACCATTACACTGAGGAGCGAGGATCACATCTGCCTGGCCAACGAGGACATGCTGGTGGTCCAGGAGTATGTGCTGGAAGCTACACAGGTTAGTGGAGCCACCACAATCAAAGTGCCCGTTTGAGCTCAATTATTTTCAAACTAAAATCAACATATAATTCCTCCTCATACAGTTCTTCAATATACTGTCACTTTGTATTGTTTGCATACTGGACATTGTTCGCAGAGCTTTTTATAAACAGTCTATTGTGCAGAGTGAAGTTTGTGTTCATCCTACCTGGTTTATCTGCAATAAAGATATTATAGTCATGTGTGATTCTACGAATGTTGCTGCCATGATGGGGGTCAGCACCTATGACATGAGTCAATGTCTGTGTCAGTCCAAAACAGTATCAAATTATGAAAATGATTTGGCTGCAATTTTGGCCCAGTTGTTGACCGCTGTACTGTATGTATGCTGTTTATGACATGGAAGAACACGTTGAACCTGGTCCACAGACTGAAAGCACGCTGCCCGCCCCACTGACTGCTAAAGAGCGCCGGTTTCTTGTTTATAAAAATGTTATTAATATCAAAGAAAAGGTACCGTGTGTCCAAATCGCCCTAAATATGACACAGCACTTTCCCCGGGCCATAAAAATACACATCCTAAGTGTGAGGCCGATAAGATGAACGGTGCTCTAGATATGCATCCCTTTCATTTAAAGGTCCAGTTCGTAAGATTTAGATAAAAGGAACTATTGGCAGAAGCTGAATATAAAAAATCTGAGTGATGTTTAATTAGTGTGTTTCATCTAAATTGTATGAATTGTTTCCTTTACTCTAGAATAGAGCCGGTCCTCTCTACAGAGGCCGCCATGTTTTTTACAGTAGCCCAGACTGGATAGACTAAACACCTTTTGAGTTTTTATGACAATTGAAGGTTTTATGTTTGGAAGGGCAGGATGAGGTGAGGGGTGTTCAGCAGAAACATGCAACTTCACCACTAGATGTCACTAAATCCTACACACTGAATCTTTAAGTTGAAACTCACTCATAAATTTTAATCACTGAAATTGAATCTCTCTATTTCGACAGGACGACTTCGTTCTGGAGGTGAAACACTACCGTGCCCCCTGCTGGCCAAACCCAGACGGTCCTGTCAGTAACACCTTCGAACTGCTCAACCTGGTCAAAGAAGACTGCACCGCCAAGGACAGTCCTACTGTAGTCCATGATGAGTAAGACCTTCTCTGACTCTGGAATAATAGCATTTAAGTATTTCTCTAGTTTGATTCATTGTTCAGAATAAGGAGGATGTTTGACAGTAAACATCAGGACATTTTTATTGTTTTTTTCCAGTGTGGGTGGAGTCACAGCAGGAACATTTTGCACCCTGTTGTCTCTGACTTGCCAGCTGGAGGCTGAAGGTTCAGTCAACATCTTCCAAGTGGCCAAACTCACAAACCTCATGAGACCAGGAATCTTCAGCGACATTGTAAGAATTGTGTTTGTCTCATTACTACATTAAATAATAAAAATATACTTTTGTAGGTCATAAATATTTCACACTATGGACAGATACAATATAGTTAGGCATAAAAAGTAATGCAAAATGCTATCATACAATCATTTATGAAAATGTAATTTTTCATAAATTCCATTCCAATTCAATTTAAATTGTACAGCGTCAAATCATGGCATGCATTATTTCAAGGCACTTTACATAGTAAGGTCAAGACCGTACAATGTTATGATGTCGGGTTGTCCATCAAGAATGCCTAGAGGGAATTTCCTCAAATTTGGTAGAAACATTCAGTTAGATTTTAGTGGTCAACGGTTATGGTGACCTCACATAACACGTTTTTTGTTATCTCCAGAATGCCGTCAAAGAATCCTTTCACATTTGGCACAAACATTAAGTTGGACTCAAGGAATAATTCACTGTATTTTTTAGCTTTCACAACCCTTTGATCCAGATCTGCACCAAAATGTAATGGAATCTGTCGCCTTGGACAAAAGTGTCTGCTAAATGTCCTAAATGTAAATGTAAATGAATCTGCCCTGACCCATACCAGTTTTGCAGGAATCCATTCAATAATTTTGGTGTACTATTGTTAACAAACAAACAAATCAACCAACAAACAAACGGGTGAAAATATAACCCCCTTGGCTCTAATGAAAATGATTGTGAGTTACAGTCCTAATAAGGGTAGATTGCACACTTAATCATTCGTTACCTCATACTGTTTTGAAGGAGCAGTACCAGTTCCTATATAAAGCCATGCTGAGTCTCATCGGGACGCAAGAAGATAAGGAAGTCCTTCAGTCCTCTGACATCAACGGCACCATCGTGGTGGGAACTGCCAGCACCGCAGAGAGCCTTGAATCGCTCGTGTGACTGTCCAAAAAAATAAAGCACAAAGAACTTTTAACTTCCAGTGAGTGACAGCATTTGATCTTTCTTTCTCCAACACCAACTGATGTACTCCTGATGCCTCACTGCAGCCACACAATGAAACATCCCTGTCATTCAGGATTGTGTGGCTGGCACGTACTGAACGAGTTCCTTCTCTGCTGTACCTGGACTCCCTATGGTTTTGTAATGTGTGCCTTTTTGTATTTTTCACCCTGTATGTCTAACTTTGATACAAGCTGTAAACTAACTGTCCGATGTTATAACACTGTACTGCCCGGAGACGTTTCACTCAACTAACAAACATTTCCTAAACCTTTGTATTTATAGGCTCTGAGCCAAATGGGAAAAAAAGGGAAAAACTGCATCTTTTTACATCAAATGAGATATTTTGCTAGTGTGTCTTTTATAGAGCTTGTACACTTAAGTTCTCTGTAAATACCATTGCAATAGTAGCAGCAGTGCTATTGAATTCAAATATTCAATAAGGGCCTGAATGATAAAAAATAATAATAATAATATTAATCTAATGTAAATAATATTATAGTAATCACCTTGATGGACCAAATTTCTATTTATACTTTTAGATTTTTATATTTTACCATTTTTAGTGCATTCAAATGTTATGGTTTCATTTTAATTGCGTAGTTGGAGAACATTAATGCTTTTATATTCTGGATCTTGTAACAGACTAAATGTGATGCATGGGGTACTGACATGTTTGTTTTTTTTAGCTGGACATGAAACACTGCTGGAGTATTAGCTGTAGCTCATTAAATAAGTGAAACACCAAAGACAGAGTCTGTTGAAGTGTTTGTTCCTGTGTACAGAGCAACACGTACAAGTACACTGCAGGTAAACTGGACAGACACACGTTAAACAACCACGGATTTATATGTGTTGTATGAACGGAGAGTTAGTTAAAGCCATCTCACTCAGGAAGCCAAAGACTGTATGTGGACACCTGACAGCTTCCAAAAAGTTAGGCCAAAACATTGTGATCGCCCCCTGGTGGCTGCAGTCTACGTCATATTCCTCCTCTTCAAAATACACCTTAATTAATGTTTTCTCTAAGATGTTTTCTGTTGTTTTAGGTTGTTCTTACCACATTAACTTATGTTCAAGTGTTGGTATATAAGTTTGGTTTTAATTAATCAGAATCAGCTTTATTGGCCATGTATGCTTTTACACATACAAGGACTTTGACTCCGGTTTTTCCATTGCTCTCAACGTACAGAAATAGACAATAGACAAGGACAAAAAAGCAGAACAAGGTTAAGCAAACATTTAACTACTATGTACAAATATGCATCAAAAGTATTACTCCTTGCTGTAAGAAGCGAGTGAAACGTGATTGACAGTTGAGACTGACTCACAATTGGTCGAGCGTCTGTGAGACCTCTCCAATTTGGCTCCATACCCTGATCACCACTGTGCTGAAAAAGTACAGATACTTGGACAAAAACAATAGACTAAAAACAGGTTAGCGAGAAAGGATTTGTGAGCACGAAAAAATAGTATAGGAGGAAAACCTTAAGAGGAATTCATACAAAGAAAAATAATTGGTAAATGTTCTACAAAGAAAAATACAGGGGATGTGGACACAAAACAGTGATGTATGGTAATTGCGGGTAGTTGAGGTGTTGCGATATGAAATACATTGCTACGCTGCTTTCACATTCTGACCAGTGTAGTTGACTGGTTATGGATCGTCATTGCACTTTAGATTTCTCGAATTGAACAATCTGGGTGTTATTCCCAAAAGAAGACGAAGAGATAATTAAACATTGTCTGAGAAAGCAGGTTACATTCACATAGAAGATATTTAGCTGATGTGTTTATGCAAAGTGACATACAGCAGCAGAATGAGCCTCGAAGACGACAAAAGAGGAGGCCGACGATCCGAGGTCACATCCTCACAAAAGATGTAGTGAGCATCCCTGCGGCCTGACAGCAGAGAGGTGTGAATAAAAATAAAACACAGAAACAGAAATAAAGACATGGTCTGATGAAAACCGAGTGCTGTCCAACCTGTGGATTATGATTTCCCTTTATGGAGTTATGCTTTAATCCCTGTACTAAACCGGTTATTCCGATTGATTTCCCATGTGTTAATCCGGGCTAAGACTCTGCAAGAAACGCGTCTTTTCTGGACAGAAAATAGGTCAAGTGTCCCGACGTCATCTTGACCGGCCACCGTATCCGCAACGTCATTTGCATTTTTGACTTTTCATAATTACATCCCCAATTATCCCCTGCTTGGTGGCCTAGTTTGCATGGCTGCCTCTGAACTGAATGGAAGCAAAAGGGCAGATTGTCTTCAGAGGGAGGGGCTGAGCTGGAGACCTAGAATACTTCAGAAAAAGTGGAATACTTGGGGGTTTGGTTGACAAGATCGTTGACAGAGGATTAAATCTGAATCTGAAGTTTAAATTGACACAGTGGTAGAAAAAGTATTTCACTTACATTCTGCAGTAAAACTCTGAAGGGGAAAGTCCTGTATGTACAATGTTGTATATATGTATAAGAATCAGCAAAATATACATGTAAAATATAGTTTGCCCTTATTTTAATTTAGCTGATTACTGTTGGGTAGTTTATAGCAGTTTATAATAAAGCTACGTAGCTCTGGAAGGGACAACGAGGAGAAAAAAAGTTACTGGTTGAAAAAAAGGGTACTAATGGGAGATCTCGCAAAAGTTTTGAGTTATATGTATTATACCTCCGGGTCAAAGTTGAAACTGAAATTGAAAACACAAAAATGGAGAGTCACACCTGTGGAACAGATTAATAGATTTATATTTTAGATTGGTCTTCCATACACACATTCGTTCTGGGCAGTAGGCATGGTTTTAAAATAAGCGAGAGGCATCTGAAGAGTACTGGTTATCCTTTTTTGTAGACCTCAGAGACATCAGGTTCTTTGATTTCTGGACAAAAGCCTCCTTCAGTTTTGTGGCATGGGACTCATCAAGGTGAGTCAATGAATTCTGAAGTTTAAGTATGCGTGTGCAGGGGTAGGAACAAAGGAGGGAGGAGAAAGACAGGGAGATAGAGAGAAGGAGGGAGAGAGGAAGAGAAGAGAGAGGAGAGAAACAGTAATGTGTGAATGTTATAATTAAGTGCTCTACTTAAGTTGATACATATATGTGTAGTTCCTCCTAAATGTATTTATCAATTCTTTTTAACAGGATGGGTTGGATGACACTGCACAGGTTTGGAACGCACACACCATCAGGCACCAAGAAACCTCAATGTCCCCAGCGGTCGGCCCAGTGTTAGTTATACATTGCCGGAACATCTTTAAATGAATGTGTCCTTTGGCTGATCAGTGGCCTGATCATCCACTATGTACATGTTTCCTGTGTCTCAGTCAGGAGGTCAGTTTGTACTGTTAACTTGTCTTCAGTTGGTGCCTGAGTTTAGATTTGTTAGGTTGACCTTTTATGAGCCCAAATTTGTTGTAAAGTTTATTTTTGCCTTTTTGTTAATAAAGAACTTAAAACTATTTTTTGAAAATGCACACACATTTGGTTTCTCAAAACTGAAATTTGCACATTTGAGATAGCATCATGTAATAATTTGCCAAGTCAAGATAGTAGTAAATGACAGTGATATGTTGGGAATATTCTGTAGACCTTCTAGAGGCCAGTTGAGCATATTATGGCTCACAGTGAGAGGCAGGACTTTTCAGGACATATTACACTCAAGGCACATTAGTTCTTCTGTAAACAGCGTCTGTCCATAAATACAGTCAAAAGATCTTCAACAACCTTCATCCTGTGAAGTGATGCACATCGTATGTTCTCTGGATGTCCTGAGCTGGCAGCTGAGGCTGATTTAAAGGCAAATCTCATGGTATCTTGTGGACATTCTGTCCACTGTCCTGCTGGAACAAAACACATATGATAAAAATAGTGGATGAATGAAGGAGAGGCCAAAATATCCCATATTTAGCATGTTTAGAATAAATCAACATCCAAATAATATTGGAGCCCATGTTTCCTGTAATGCAAGTTAAAAACATGTCTTCAGAAGTCCCTACTTCAAACTCTGTATACTCCTAGTTTATAACAGGTTTTCTATTCAAAATCTTTTGTCTCCAATTCCCAAGCCATGTTAACTAAGACAGCTTCAGTGTCACCACAGTTATTGTTCGGAACAGACTCCTCCAGAGTCTATAAAAATGCCTTTCACAGGCAGCAGCAATGTCAAATCAAACAGTGATTTAAAGTTTGTGTTCAAGGTTTCTTGCAGAGATGCATTGTACCTGTGCTGCTTCATGTATTGATGGTACACGTAGTGAAGACAGCTGGAGAAGATGGGACCTGTAGGTCCTCCATGCAGCTCGTTACTCTGAAGGACAAATAAAGTATATAGTATTAATTCACAGCAAACACTTTGACCCTACAAGTCTAACATGTGATTGCAGACTGTAAGTTAAAAGTCTTTTTTAAAACAAGTCTTCTCAGCCTATCTTCCATTTAAAATCAGGATTACTCATGAAAGTCAAAAATCTGTGTTAATAAAAAGACAATTACAGAAATCCAGTCAAAAGGACTCCATTGACTTCCACTACTACTGTAGTGATTCATGTTATGTTTCGTTGAATGTGCTGTCTCTTTCAACAAAGTCAAATATGAGACTAACCTACAATTGCTGTACACTGCTCAGACTTCGTGCATCCACCTTATCTAGAAGCTTATTCCACAGTTAACTGGCTTTGGAACTCAAAACGTTCCGCAAACTAGGGATTCTACACCGGCAACTCACATTAGCTTATGTTCAGCTCACATAACATTAACGCTAGCTCCATTTTTCATTAAAACACTTTTCCCAGCTTTACTTATTGCGATATTGACTGAATTCTCAACTCACCTTGCTGCATTTTCATGATGTCTTCTTGAGGGACCTCTTTCTCAGTTGCTGAACTGACCTGGAAATGCATTGACTTAAATGAAAAACTTTGCGAGATAACGCACAACTTTTGAGAGATCTTGCAAAATTAGACCTTTTTTTTTAACCACCGATTTTTTTTCCCTCCTCCATATCCCTCCGTCAAATGTAAAATATCAAAATGAGATTAATGCCCTCAATAAGACTGCATGGCACTAGAATTATGAAGACGAAGTGAATACTATAATCTTAATACTTATATAATTTTCATTTGATACTGTTACATTATTATAGTAGTAAAATGGTACTATCTTATTAAGGCTGTCATGTGTATTGAAAAAATTATTAAATTCCGTGTGAGATACAGATTATTACATAGTAGTACATTTTATTTTTAAATGCTGAAAGAGGAAGAAATAACTTTATAGAATGATTTTTTATTCATGTGAACATTTTTACATGTTAATAAAGCAAAAATGTGCTATAAAAATGCTTATGCAAATTAATGTGTGTTTGTAATTTTGAATAACAATTTGCATTGTCAAATCCAACATTTCAAACAAAATCAAAAGTAAAAACCGTGTTTGAGGTTTATCATTGGGTAAATCAAAGCCATACTTTTGGATATTAACATTTAATTTGACAAACGCTAATATGTGTTAGCGTGGATGTGATAAATGGTTTTACCAGAACATTCTTTATTTTTCAATCTGCTGGAACCACAATAATTGTGTTACTCAGAACCAAACCTACATATCAACCAACATATCAAACAATACACTGGTGTTTAAAATACTCCCACGGTCCACATACTGTATGTACTTCATGTTCAGAACATATATGGATATATTATACATAGCGTTTCCACCATTTTAAAGCATGTAAAAAAAACGTTTACAACGTGACCACACACCCCTCCAAATAACATAAATATTACTCAGCAAAGAATAAATACTCAGTCTGGGGAACACAAATACAGAATTCACTCAAACAGCAAATCAAACGAACCACTGAGCTCAGAAGAAGCCGAGTGTTGCCGATACTGATCATGTTCCAGTAACCAAGTCAATCACAATTTAATATTCCAAAGATAATGCATTTCTATTGCTATTTGTTATTCTCTATAGCCCAACAGAATTTTAAACGTGCTACTTTCAGTTTATACCAATGGTAAATAAAAATTGTGAAAAAAGGCTGCAGTATCAGGCATATGTCATGGGTGTGTGTGTGTGTTTTGGGTGTGACATGCACTAAACCAGCAGATTGCCATCTCCCATTCCCTTTAAAAACCAGATGTGATTGCAAGTTAGCAGATTGTTGTGGGTCTGATACCAAAGCAGTGGTGTTAGGAGAATGACAGGACCCCTATCAAGTCATAGTTTTTTAGTGTGAAACTCTTTGATTAAGAAAGGTTAATAGTTTTAATGTGAAACATACACAGGAAAGTATTTGGCTTTTATTAGTAATGCCCCTAGTGTCAAAAGGAACTTAATGTGGGGTCCTGAGATACAGAGAACACTTTCCACGTTACAGAGGAAACATCTGCTTGTGCATTTTCACTTAGTGTTTGTAACAAGCAGAGTTCATATTACAACTTTCCAGATGCACCTTTAAAATAACAATGAAATATTGAGCTATTGGCTTCAGATAAAGTTTTTGTGGGTCGGTCACTTAGTCACGTTTTCGGCTGCCTACACTCCACATTTTTAGACCAACACACCCATGGGTGCAAGTGCATTTGCTATTCAAACAACGTGGGTAGAAGGTGAGAGAATAATAACTGCATCACTCTGAAACTTACGTTACACGCTGTATGTAAGATGGGGCCCAATTTTTTTCCTGTTTAAGTTAGTGCAGCATCGAGCTATGTTTGCGGTTTGTTGTTCATTCATACTAAACAGTAGTAACACAGGTACAAATTTTGCTGACAGGGAAAAAGGACAGTTACCATGGAAACCTAATTTCTGACTGACACTTCACAAGACTTAGATTGCACATGGTTTAAAAAAGTAGGAAGCATTGCTCCCATTGCCTTCTGAACATTTCAATGTTTTCTTAAAGGTGACAACGAGTATGATTTGTACTGACATGACGTCTTTATGACAGATGCCAAAAGCTACATTATTAGTCTTTGGGAAACGTAGTTTGAAATCCCAGTCAGACCTAGTGTCTTCAGTAGTTTTACTTTGGGTGTTTAGGAAGTATGTTTGCTTTTAAATTCTTAAAAGTTTTAATGCCAAAAATATTTTTTGATCAAGACTTTTTATCCATCTTCCCAGAAGAACTTTTCTCTGAAACAGAGCAAATTCAGCCAAACTAGGGATGCTTACATTAAGATGTCTAAA